TAATTGTATAACACATTACAAGGTTTGTGTAAGCTGAAAACCGGTTTATGAGTATTTTGTAAATTATTTAAAAAGTCATCATTTCATAGCACAACAGTAGATGGATTTAATGCTTTAAGTCGACCGTCAGAGCTCTAGAACTCTTGCAAATAAATTATCCCTTAAGAAAGAATGATTGAAAAAAGTTTTCTTTCGTTTTTGTTGTTATCCTAAATTATTTTATTTACCACAATATAATGTAAAAATGATGCATTAAAATTAAGCATCCCATCCGTTGTAGTAGAGGAAATATAACTAAGGTTTTTCTGTTTAGGTTATAATTTTTGCACTAAAAGCTATTGTTTATGTGACATGATAAAGCGTTGATCAAACTAGTTATTTCCAAATTTCAAAATACTTGTATATATATATATATATTTATGCCTACGCCTCCGTACAAGATAACTTATATTGTTGTAGTGTCAGAGACATTATGTACTAAGGGGTTTACGGCCGAAAATATCGTTAACAGCGAGAATACCCAACTGATAAAATAATACATTCTAATATATCTATTTGTAAGAAAGTAATAACAGTATTTTTAATTAGTTATACTCATTATCAGGTTGATATTTTTATGTTTGATCTAAGTGGACAGCTTGCTCTATGCAGAAGTTAATATTAATTCCCCAATACAAAAATATAACTGAAAATTTGATTTAGTGCTTTTCCATGTAGCTATGAATTTTAATGTCCCTTAATGAATATGTTTCATAGCACCAATTTCTATTGACGAATTGGTTAAGATACCTTGATTGAGAATATGTGCACCTTGATGTATGATTTATGTTTACAAACAAAAACCCATCTACAATCGTTATAATCAAGTTTTCCACCGTAACTCACCTAAAATGACCTACACTTTATTATCTATTATAAATAGCCATTCTCAGACACAGCTACATGCAGACAGTAAATCTGCATTTCTTACCTACTTAACCGGAAGGAATGTTCTTATCTGGTTTAATTCTTTGCAAAAAATCCTCGAACAAACCAGAGTGACGGATCAGTTGTAATATTTCATGGAGAGACAACCGCCTTTTAATCTGTACTTTTCTTTGCTTGACTTTCAATTTAGAGTACTTTCTATGTCGACGACCTTTTGCTTAGAATAATCTACAACGAACACTACCGACCCGTTTTATTTTTTCTGAGGATATGGGTGTTCTTGATTTAAGTAATGCCTAACCATCAAATGAAAATATAGCGTCTGAGTTTGTATAAAACCAATACGGCGAGTTCCATTACCACAGAGAGATTTGGTTCTTTCCCAGGAATCCAAAGACAGTTTGGAGCGCTTGCCGTCCAGCTAACATTGCCTCATAGTGATCTATTTTGTTGTAGCAAGTAGGAAGTTACTGGGTTGAGAAATTACACAGGAAAAGACAGCATGCACTGGACTGTTATTAGGCTATGTTGAGTTATTACACATTTGCAAAGCTAAAGTATAAGCATTAATTGTATAGCATTCAGACAAGCATGCGTAAGTTATATTTTCCAAACTTGCATGTACATGCATAATCACATACGATACAACACTGGCCATTAATATAGATTCAGTGAAGAAGTGAAAACTTACTAAACCCCGAACGCCCATTATTTCCTTGTGTTAGGAATAATAGTTTCAACTTTTATAAATAGCTTCACTTCCTCCCTCATCTTATTAAGTGGTATAAGTAGAAAGTGGAATAGGATATTTATGTGTGGACTACAACTAAAACTATATATTCCCGCATAAAAATCAATTAAACAACGTTTTGGTAACTTTGTTTGTTTTCTTTTAATCTATATAAAAAGTTGAATAAAAACAATGAAAGGGAATTAAATACTACTTGAAAAATAGGGTTAGCGGGAGAATGTTTTTTGCAAGTAGACATTTATCTGATTTGAAAATGAAAACAAGCATTTCACTTGAGTTATGTATGTCTTGTATTAGCAACGTTGAAGAATTCTGGTTTCTGTAAATTTTGAATATGCAAATCAGTACGTAACGTCACAACCGATACTAATATAAAGTCGTGATGGACGGCATGTATTAAAACGAAATTTTGACATTATTTGGCTTTTCGTAGGTAATGCGATGGCCCCGAAAATTAATCGCTTTTGAGAATGATATGTAACAGCCCTTTCACACGCTAAATATTTATAAACTCAGATCACAAAGATATGTTCAGATTGGGAATATATAATTTCCAAGACCGGATTATCCGTTGCACTCAATGCCATAAGAAAACATAAAAAGTGGATCAATTTGGGGGGACCGGATTCATCCAGAAAGAGTATTTATATTTTTGTACTTATGGCAAAGCTACTAATGCTCTTTGCTGTCGTCCCTACTTTTAAATTGCTGACCAGAGGAAAGGCAGCCAGTCAGCAATGCCCTACTATGCTGATGATTTGCCTGTCACTTTTATAACGAACTCACAGCTCAAAGAGTATTTTGTGGTATTGTACGGATTCCAATCCGGCTAATCTGCTCCAAAATCCAAAGCTCTACCACCGAGCTAACCCACACTTCTAGAAAGAGACTCAGAACAACTTGTGTTCCAGCCATGGTAAGCAACTTGCTGCATTTTGTAACAGGTGAGAATTCAAAAACATAAAAGATAGTGTCAAATGCCGTCCATCGACCTTTGTAAGAGTAGGCAATGTAATCAAGAAGAATCTCTTTCTGGAAAAGCGTCACAAGTCACGTGTAAAGTTTAACCGTTACATACTTTAAGCAGGTGAAGAGTGAAACTAGCATTCATGCTATTCCATATTCAAGATAAGCGGTCATATCGGTATGGATTTCTGTGCAATTGGAGTATTGAAAAAAGCGCTGGGAAGCTGTCGTCCTTGTACACTAGATTAATTAATGAAAACTACAGAGAGAGAGGATGTGCTTTGAACATGGCATTCTTACGACGTAGCCTTTCGCAATGGAAACTATGCTGCAGAGCTATTGTCAAGATGGACGATGGTCGGATTGAGCATGACTGGACATGTTAACATTTGCTGTAACAATGTGGTGAGGCTCCAAAATCGGTTTGATATAACGTATTCAACCCTTGTATAACTTATGTAATTGATTTACATTAAACAGCATGTTTTTAAATTTGAAATATTTGGGATTTTTCTTACGTGAGATTTACCCTATTTACCAAGGTTCTTTAATATTCATTTTCAGTTCCAAGCCCTTCGGACCTTTTTGAATGCAACATCGATATTTATATACCCAGTTTGTAATCATACTGGACTGTACTTAAAGAAGTTTTAAACTATCACTTTCAAAAGATTGAAACTAATTCATGCTAGATTTTACTATATTACCTGTTCTTCCATCAGACACGTTTATCAAGTCTTGGATAATTACTTACTAGAACTGCTAGAACATTTACAGGTTACAATAACAGCAAAACGTTACAGCTAAAATACATAATACTTTGGTTCATATTCACACCAGATGAGAGGAACCAGAATCTTTTAGGTTCCCCTAGTGTAAATTAACAGTGTTATTGCTTGTTGTTATCAATAGCCAATAAAATTAATTAACATGCGAACGTATGATCAGAGGCTTGACACCATGATAATAATAATATGAATCCCAAATTTATTGCCATGAGTATTTGTAATTACTTTTCTTTATCACTTGTATACAAAATGCAGAAGCCCCAATAATGTGCTTTTGTGTTGTCAATGCTAAGCTAGACAATGAACTATCTGTTCTGTTCTCTTCACAGGGATCGAACTCCTATTTTTATAGCACCATAAGCCCTCAAGCTTAATACTGAGCCACCTGGGGTGACATAATGTTTAGAGGTACATGAGTTCCTTCATAATAGAAACAAATACAAATTATATCAATGAAACTGATAATCACAAATTTTAACTCTGAAATCAAATGTCTTCAAAGTGGTTTTCCTTTGACCATTTTTGATTTGTAATATATTCAAATCGATGACATTTACTAAATAAAAAACTACAAGTTGTTCCATCGGTTTTATTATGAAAATGTTGCAATTAGACATTTCGAAACGGTATCCTGCTCTTTATCTAAGATGACAAGAGTAAACAAGCATGTGAAATCTAAAAAACCTCAAGAAGAACCTTGGTTTTGTTTACTCTGAATAATCAGAACACATAACTTCCCATCGTAATTTATAATTCTACAATGTATACGAAAACTTAGAACTATCTAGAACGAAGGATACCACGAAAAAAATCATTGTATCTTGTTTTACTGTTAGTTGTCCTTTAGAGAAAGATCCATTTCTACACTAGTAGAGTAATCTACTATAGGTATCTGCTGGCTGCTTTATCACGAGACATTTGGGCTCATTTAATTAGAAAAAAAAATCAGTTATTGCAGCTTCTATGCGTTTACATGTAGACGTCAAAACTGTACAGCCTTTCTTGATCAACTTTTATTTGTTTATTGTACGTTTGTGGGGTGTAAATAAATTTCAAACTTTTCTTGTCATATATTTTGTAAGTTAAATTTAACCGTTATTCCTTTACGAAATTGTATTCGTCTGACAGATATTGTTAAATATCATTCAGTAACATATGTCATTTGATTTGTATAAAAAAAAAGTAAACATTATTGTTAGTTAGCACCGGAAAAAGAAAAGCAACGTGTAAAACAGGTGTCAGCTATTGTGATATCAATCTGCTTTTCGTTTCAAAAAGAAAGAAAGCTAAATATCAATTTAAATAAAATTACATTAAACATTTCGCTTTTATTCACATCGTAAAAAGTTTACACTACTCCAGTGTATTCATTCTTCAGATTAAATCTCATACTCTCTATTAGCTGTATAGGAACCTGTTTGGGCTATTTGTGAATTTACTGATGGAGCTAATAATTGCGTGGCATTATGTTTCAGGAAATATTGGGTTAAATTATATCAGAACGTGATTATGAAAGACAACCACGTTGTTCAAGAGTTATCATTTACACTGTCTGTTCTTTATTACAGGATACGGAAACATCGCACCAAAGACTAACTGGGGAAAGTTAGTGACCATTCTCTATGCTATTGTAGGAATACCTTTGATGTTTCTCTACCTGACCAACATAGGAGATTTGTTGGCTAAATCCTTTAAATACCTCTATGGCAGGTTGTGTGGATGTAAACCACAGGATGGTCGGCGACGTCGTCGTCATGTAGAACATTATCGTGTTCACCACATCGTGCTACAGGAAAACACCTCTAATTCTCACGGTCCACTCGAAGCTACATTGTCCAGCAAGTTCAGGACATCGCAACCAGTCGCTGAAGAGGTTAAAATGGAAGCCATTCCAGATGATTTATCAGAAGAGGAGGATTATGGGAAACCGCGAGCGAATGTACCTATAACCCTCTGCCTAACCTTGATCACTGGGTATATATGTGGAGGTGCTTTTCTTTTTTCAATTTGGGAAGGCTGGAACTACCTAGATGGTGCTTACTTCTGTTTCGTTACTCTCAGTACTATTGGATTTGGAGATCTGGTGCCTGGTGATACAGTTGTCTCGGACACACCGGGTTCACAAGAGAAACTAGTCATATGTTCACTCTATCTACTTGGAGGCATGGCTCTGATTGCCATGTGTTTCACCCTGGTCCAGGAAGAAGTCATTTATAAAATGAAGAACCTTGGAAAGAGATTGGGCATTGTAAATGATTCCGAAGATTCTGATGATTGAAAATGTAATGGCTGGTGGCCAATTGGATTAAAATACTGTAATTGTATTCTCAGCGTCTGGAATTAACAATTAACAATTACGAATTAAAATAAAATGATGACCTGTGATGAGATAACTTATCAATTTCTGCATCATTTAGGCTATCGTGAGGATCATAAGTAATCCAGTACTTTCAAAGTGAAAAAGACCAGAGAGAGATGAGCCTGTGAGTGAGGATATCTCAGTGAACAGAATCGTTCTGTAGTTCCTGATATGTATGATATTATGTTGATGTTTTAGGTTATTTGAATATAATATATCGTTAAAAACACGACAAAATATGACCAGTAGTCAACTGGCCCCCCACTCCAGAAAGGTTCAATGCATAGCGCAGAAACTGATGGTTTACCACAGTGGTATATTGTTTTATTGCGATCAAAGTCCATATATTTGTTCCAGATCCTGTTTCACATAAATGACAAATTATATAATATATATCCACCTTTAACTGATCCGTTAGTCAAGTGAGGAGAAAACATTTCTGCACTCAGTACACTATCGCAAACAGTGTTGTTCATTATTTTCATTATAGTAGCATAATAGACGTACCCCTAGTGTTAGGGAGTAAAATGTGCCTTACCAGTTAAAACACTAGAATATCTGCTTTAACTAAAAGAACCTTTTGCTGCTGACCTCTTACATTTTCATTTATCATGTGTGTGTTTACTGTAGCCTATCATATCGCTATTCTTAATGTGCACTCTTATGGAACGTAAAACATGCCTGTTGTAAATTTTGTTTATTGTTCTTATAATAGTGTTGTAACAATATTGTTGATAAATAATCGATATATTGACTACCCTGAATCTTATAAGGCAATCTTATGTACCATCTGTGATTAGCCATGTTGAATGACAAATACATGAGATGCAAAGACTATATAATCAGCACATACAAGGGATTTCTGTTTGATGTTAAAGCACGCCTAATTTTTTATTTCCATTCTTGAATTTTACTGATCAACAACCTCTCCTGTAGTTATTTAGAGAAAACAAAGGAGAGATCATGACACATACGAAAATCATTAACAATTTTAAGTAGACTATTGTGTGTGTAACTTTACACTAAGATAAACAAACAAACTTAAATTCAAAAAGTAATAATATATTATAAAAGAGAACTGAATCGACATGTTTGCCAATATAGAAAAACGAACACAAAAAGTATATTTACATTAATAACCTCCCAATTATAAGATATGCCCAAGCATCATACTCGAATTATACTGAGAAAGGTTTCTATTTGTTTGTTTTTAATTTCCCTTTGTTTTTGTTTGCTTGTTGTTAATCACAAAGTTATATGCTCTGCCTACCGCAGGTATCGAAACAGCTGAGCCACCGAAGGTCTTTAATTTCTTTAAGCGACTACCAGATGACATCTAGAAAAATACGCCAACAGACTGCTTGTAAAAACAACTAATTACACCACCTTTATATTTAAACAGCTTTAACAAGCAATTTTATACTACGCTCGCAAAGATACCCGGGACATTCTAAACGGGGAAGGCGGGATGGAGTGGTGTGTTTCTTATTTGCTAAGGAAATCTACCGAGTACGGACGATCATGATTTAGGAAGCAGCCACTTAGGTAGTAGCAAGAAAGAAAATTAATTTGACACACCGCTCGTTCGAAGTACTTATGCTACACATTAAACGTCCCTTTCGCTTGGAGTTAGTTTCACATAGTGAAAATTGAAATGGCTACCAACCGTTTGTCAGATTGCTTATCCATTTAAGCTCAGTATATGGGGAGTAGACTTGAATCCCTCTCTGAAATCCTGTCGATAGTGGTATTAGGGTGAATCTTAACACAATCTTAACTCATATTAGGATGAATCTTAACACAATCTTAACTCATATTAGGGTGAATCTTAACACAATCTTAACTCATATTAGGGGGAATCTTAACACAATCTTAACTCATATTAGGATGAATCTTAACACAATCTTAACTCATATTAGGGTGAATCTTAACACAATCTTAACTCATATTAGGGGGAATCTTAACACAATCTTAACTCATATTCTATTTTCGTTCGTTATAGAAAATAGTTTATGTGAAAACCAATATAAATACAAATTTCTACCAAGAGTTTATATATATATTGCTTAACCTGTTTATAACATTGTTGATATTTTGAAACTTATGATTCAGTGTTATATTTTTGTTTGTGGTTGAACAGTATTTTAAACTTATAGTGTATATCATTTATGAACCAAACTGTATATTTTATTCTGTTGTAAAACAGAAACAGCTATGATACATAACCACATTGTTATAACTAGTTATTTTATTGAAGAAAACATTTTATTGGTGTTAATTCAAAACTTTTTATGCTTTTCTAATTGTTTTATCCAAATCTTATTTCTTTCATTGTCTCATTCCAACAATCATAACAAATGATAATATTGCGAGTGACTTGATATAAGATGTATCAAAATGATAATGTGACGTGTGACTTGATATTCATCTCTGTAGTAAAGTGGTTTAATCTATTGATTTACTGGGCCTATAATGATAAAGTATTGCCTCAGTGTGTTAACTTAAATAGATATTTCTTATATTGAATTCTTTCTGAAAGTCACCGTTCTTGAATAACTTCTGTGTTTTACTTCAATAAACGTTTATTATGAAATTATATATGTCCAAAACGAGTGATGTTTTGGTGGTTTTTTGTTTGTGTACAGAAAACTAAATTTAAAATAACAATCAAAACAGACTGCCACTATTAACTTGTGTATATATTTAGATCAAACTATACGATAGCTGTAATATACATACAGAAACTATCTAACAAATGAGTGTTATTGTGTTCAGGCACAAAGTAGCATAATGTTCATATTCATAGTAAGAAGCTTTATGGGTGAAGGGATTCGGGAGACAGTACTCTTGGATAGCTCAGTAGGTAGAGAGTGGCACAGCGGTTTCGATAACCCGTGGTGGGCAGAGCACAGATAGCCCATTACGTAGCTTTGTGCTTAATTTCAAACAAACATATTGTTAGCTTCTGTCCCGTAAGAGTTACGTATCTGGGTATTGTTAGCATACCTTATATTATAATATGTACAAATATCATTTAAACATGATTGGTTACTTCTTACACCATAGAGCTAGTATCCCAGATTATCATGTTCTTAGGGGAAAATATCTAGTCCAACTATTCGACACTGTAATATTTTTTTGCAATTTCTTTTCTTTTATCGTAATTACTATAACCGTGTTGAAATTTTATATTGGCCTAGTAGGCGGAAATTTTTCTTTTTCTTCTGGATAAATGATGCATTCTGATTATTCAAAGTAAAACAGGTCTGTGCTCGAATGAAATGTCATTACTGGTTAGTATACTGTCCTGAATGTATTTCAAAAGATAAATAAAGTACTGTAGAGAAGTAATCTCGAGATGTAAATAATAAATTCAGTTACAAGTGCAATGAATGTTTCGTCTCTTAGGGTGGCTTAAAAGCAGAATCTAATGAACTTCTTCTGTGAGATATTTAATTTTACTCGTTGATACACTGCTTAAGGAGAGAGAATAGTATCTTACAAGCAGCATCTAATGAACTTCTCTTGTGAGATATTTACTTGTACACACAGTGCTTATGGAAGGAGAACCTGTAATACTTTACAAGCAGCATCTAATGAACTTCTCTTGTGAGATATTTACTTGTACACACAGTGCTTATGGAAGGAGAACCTGTAATACTTTACAAGCAGCATCTAATGAACTTCTCTTGTGAGATATTTACTTGTACACACAGTGCTTATGGAAGGAGAACCTGTAATAAAAGTAAATATCTCACAAGAGAAGTTCATTAGATGCTGCTTGTAAAGATACACTCAATGCTTAAGCAAAAATACCTTTTAATGCCTTAAAAGCAGCATCTAACGAACTTCCCTTATGGGATACTTACTCATTCCTATACTGCTTAAGGAGAGAAAAAACTTTTGATGCTTTACAAGCAGCATCTAATGAACGTCTCTTGTAGGATAGTTATTCATATATATATATACTGCTTGTTTTAAAAAAGTGGGTTCCTCGTCATGAAATTTAAGTCGAAATATGTAATAAAAAAGGCGTAAATTTACGAATTTATATAGAAGGCGTCTTATGTAATCTACATAAAGTTATCATCTGTGCATATACTGTGAGGCATGTGAAAATAAGTTTTGGAATTTGAATTTTTAATGGTCGAAGGTAGCAGGGAAGTATAGCTTTTCAATCATTCTATATATTTTTTATTTGTATAACTTTAAGTACTATAGTTAACGTCAGGTTTTATATGGCTGGAATTTTTACAGTAGGTATATGTAACTTGTTGGCAATAAATTTCAACAACAGACGGACAGTACATAATTCACTTGATTTAGAATAATATATTCAAAACTAGTCAAACGTATGTACAAAAATTCGTCACACTATTGGTTATCACAGTTGTATCGAGAGCTTTAAATAATTGTCTCTTTTTCGTCAAAGTTCACACAGGCGGGTTCAGTTACTTTAGAACACCCTCTGACAAAATATTCTCCTCTATCTCTGTTATTACAATACAAGCTGTGAAACTCACTTTATAAATCGTCCGTTATGGCTAAACTGACACGCAATTTATCTTCACGTTTACTTTCACTTTCACTAAGTTAATTTACTTACTTAGTTACTTTCCTTATCTGCACGTTTTTATAACATGCAAAAGATATATACCTAGCTCTCTAGTAACAACAATATTAAACATCGCGAGAAAGACTTAGAAGCTTCGATTAAGATGACGTCAATAATATTACAAAAGCTTAGTACAACAATTAAACTGCATACACAACTCGTACAGAGTTATAAGGAAACCTGTCATAACTATCGCTTTCAAAACAATTAACCCTCAACACTCAATGAATATTAAACCACCAAATAAACCAAATAATAGCTCTTAAGCTGAACAGTCTGGTACACCCAACACTTAAAGCTAGAT